ATGCTATTATTGACGAACAAATTAGGCTTGCTTAGAATAGAGAAGTGCGCTAGGATTCTATCATTTGAGAGGCGAAATAAGCAGCGCAGGGTACATCAAGTCATATGGTCCTTTGTGACTAAATTCGCAGGGCGAAAAAGGTTTAAGAGAAAGACTTTGAGAAAAAGATTTTCAAATCATTGCTGAAAGCAATCAAGACCTTCTGATATAAATTCAAGATTGTTTCGGTCTTGTAGAAATAGTTATACGACTTTCATGTGATTATAAATGCTTTTTAATCTCACCGAATGATCTCGAAAAAAAAAACATATTAGAATGAACCAAAACGTGCCGATTTTTTGTGAAACGCGGCAAAGAGGCTTCATCTTAGAATCTACGAAAAATTATTTTTAGACTGAAAAATATCTTTTATGGGAGCCTTTGAAAAAATGCGCTTAACGGAAAAGTACCAACATTGATAGGTAAGCTAACAAACTCTTGGTAAAACCTGTTAGACATGTGAAAAACGTGTCAATTTTTTTTCGACAAGTGGCAGAAAGGTTGACTCTCCAATCTGTAAAGTTTCTACCAAATATGGTACAAGGAACTAGACAATATCTTCTTCGAAAAAATGGGTCCAGATAACGGAAAATTACCCAATTTTTTTGTTGTTTTACCGGAAAGCCGATTGGGCTTCAGATATGAAATACGCAGGAATAGAGATCGCTGCAGAGCTCTAGAATAACTCCTCTCAGGCTATTTAAGGATCAGTCGAAGCTACTAAAACCGAGTGTTTTTATGTGCTATGTAGAAGAACTTTGGATTTATTGCAAATTTATTCTACACAGTACATGCAGATAGAAAGTGTACTTATAAAATCGCGTGATGCGAGAAAAAGAGGAAGGATACACCTGTATATAAGCTACACATATGTTACAGAGAAAGAGAAAAAGAGATAATATCATCCGCGCCATTCATCAAACATTGGAATGAGCTAGTTCCACTTTAGCCGAAATTAATCCTGCGACCGCTTTCTTCACTCTGCTAGCAAGATCAGGATCAACCTAAAAAATCATTTTTTGGAATTTATCATCGTAAGATTCCATGCTCCAACTCACCTTTGCGTACGTATTCTCGAGGAAGCGCTCTTGAACGACTGATGAAGCGTCTTTCAGCATACCGGCGGTGTTTTGAACCAACCGTTCTCGCTCATCTTCTTTCAAAACCTAAATAATCATTCGAAATAACTATCCAAAAGAGAGGAACACTCTTCGAAGCACGCGCCTGCGGCTGCGTGCGCGCAACGCTCCGCCCAGCACTAATACTACTCACCCGTCGCCAGAACTCTCTTGGCTGAACAAAATCGTCATCTGTATTTGGAGCATGGCGATTTACTTGTCCATGCAAATTGTATACATGTTCTATTCTCTCCTTGTGCTCGACATGCCCGTTGAAACTGTCCGGGAAGTAGGATGGAGCGTTACCTAAAGAATTTTTTTTTGAGGGTAAAAAATGAACAGTATTTGTCTCACCTTGGCTGTCAATAGTCATGAGACCATCACGCTGCGTGTTTGAGGGACGAGCACGATATGGGCAATTGATAGGGATTTGTTTATGGTTGGGACCAAGTCGATGGTATTGGGTGTCCACGTAAGAAAGAATACGTCCCTGGAGCATTTTATCCGGGGAGAAGCCGATTCCCGGAACAAGATGGGATGGGGAAAAAGCTGCTTGCTCGACCTGGAATGTGTAACGTTAGCTATTGATATCTATCCTTCCACATCAGACTTCTTCTTCCTCCCCCCCCCTATTTTTTTCGCGAAAAGAAAATTCTTATCTTGAAGCAATGTGCTTCCTTTCCTCAACAAACTAAACATTTCTTATGACCATGGGATAGCTGTGACTTTTCTGCAAGGTACAACATGCCACGCCCTAAACCTAAATGCGCATGGTACGGTATGCCACGCCCCTTTTTGGATAAACTCCCTCCTGCAAATAGATCGCCTCGCCTTTGATATTTGGGTTTGATTTCCTTCCAAAACTTCTGACACCTTCTATGCTCCTCCCTTTCTTTCTCCCCCTACAAAAACCCGACGTTTTTTCATACAAACCTCTGCGAAGTAGTTCTCCGGATTTCGGTTCAGTACCAGTTTGCCAACAGGAATCAGGGGGAACTCTGCATGTGGCCAAATCTTAGTGAGATCAAATGGATCCATTGTCCAGTTATCGGCTTGCTCCAGTGTCATTATCTGGATGAAATTAGGTTGCTCCTCAACGTTTACCCGGAGTGAGAAATTACCTGAATGTGAAGGGTCCATTCTGGGTAATCTCCTTTATCAATGGCGTTGTACAAGTCGCGAACAGAATAATCTGGATCTTCTCCGGCTAAACGTCTAGCATCCTCTGCCATAAGATTTTTGACGTTGTCTGTCTG